GGGGAAGGGGGACTTGAAGAAAAGGGTTTGGGAGACCTAAAATCAGCGAAAAAAGGCAAAAAATAAAATAGGGGCTGAAGGAGGTGGATGGTGGCAAAAGAAAGAGGAGGGGAAGCAAAAGAGGGAAGCGACAAAAAAAGAAGCAAAAGCGGATTGCGAAAGGCTGCCTGGCTTGGCGCTGGCCGCGGCTACAGCCGGGACGGAGGGTGACGGTGGGTACACTACGCCACGGCACTCCCCTCGGGGGGAGGGAGGGTGGGTTTGGGGAAGGTAAACTGGCAAAAGTGCTTGAGCAGCATGGACTGTAAATAAAGGTCATCATAAAGCATCAGAAATGATGCTAGGCATGATTCTGTTGGAAATAGCAGATTTAAACTGTCTCACAAAAACCAACTCTTTTCTGCTCTCTTCAAAAGAACTGTTTGCCTGGGAAGTTGAAACTCGAGTTTCAATGCAGGTGACAGAGAAACTCCCGCAGCCAGCTGGCGAGGGAAACTTTGCGGAGCTATCGCAGCAACAAGGACAGAAGAGTGTGGCAAAGCTCATGGCTTGGTTGTGTTTGCTTTCAGGCTCCTCCAGGAAAGGTGGAAGAGGTGGTGAAGTTTGCTATTGATACAGGCTACCGCCTCTTCGACTGCGCCTACTTCTATCAGAATGAACATGAAATAGGGAATGCAGTCCAGCAGAAGATCAAGGAGGGGGCTGTGAAACGGGAAGACCTCTTCATTGTCACTAAGGTACAAGGATGCAGGATTATTGGCGCACTTAGCTTTTCTTGAAGAGAAACCCTTGTTCCATCTGTAAAGTAACCTAAGGCCTTACTTCCTTCTATAATATTCATTTCATGATTGCCTTGTGTGCTATAAATTCCACCCTTTATTTGCAATTTGAACTGTGCTTTGTCTAAGGAACCATTGACAAAACAACAAAGGCAGTGTGGCTGTTAATGATCTAACAATCCTCTTGTGTCTGTGAAGTCACATAATTATACTGAAAGTTCATTTACGTGCAGCCTAGAAAGATCAGGAAAAAAAAAAAGACAAGACATATTAGAAGATGCTGTGCTATTTACTGGTGTGCAAGATATTTGAAAATGGTGTCATGTACAAAATCTAAGCCTGAAAGGGAATTTCTTGAAATTAAAGTATGAGACTTCAGTCTGAAGTATTTTCCATGTATTTACTTCATCCCTTTATCTCACCCACTTGTCTCAGCAATGCTCTTTACCAAAAAAGTAAGAGCACTTCAACTAGAAAACAACTTGGGGTTTTCACCAGCAAAAACACAAGACAGTGAGTGTAACTAAGTTTTTCCACATACTCTTCGTTTTTGGCAAAGAGCAGGTTTTAATGTAATAATTGCAAGTTCTTCTATTTAAATGTTTTGAGTTTTCGTTTCAAAAATGAAGTAAAATTGACAACAGTTGGCACAGTGGCCAGATAAAAGAGATAGAAGGAGGGTATCTGAGCTGATCAAGACTCAAAATTGAGGCTGGAAAAAAGGTAATCTGGAACACTAATAGCTTTGCTGGCAGTGTTGCATTTAGTTTGGGGACACTTCATAAGTAGGAATACTGATTGTCTACCGTCACTACTGACTCCCTTATTTGTAGCTCCTTTGTCCTACCTCAGCATTACAATACCAGCATCCATTGGATTGGTGTCCATTCAGTGTGCACTGGGTACGTGGGGAGGGAGTTGTCTTCCCAGACCACCAAGGGAGAAGCTCCTGTCCCCTGGTCTGGACTGTGGAAGCTGTAGAGTCACAGTGGGGCTTGGTTTCTTCCCACAGTTATGGAACACATTTCATGAGAAGTCCCTGGTCAAGGTAGGGTTCAAGAAGAGCCTCTCTGCACTGCAACTGGACTACCTTGACCTCTACCTGATGCACTTTCCAATGGGATTCAAGGTAGTCGTGCTCTACATTTCTCTTCTTCTTACCTTGCAAGAAACATGGTGTATTCTCATCTATGCTGTGACCATCTTCATTATACAGCTGGATTATGCTGTGGTTCATTTGGCTCTTCCCTGAACCTGGTGGTAGCAAGCATTCAGTCACTAACTAGTTAATGGTATGTTTTAGCACATGGTTATGGCTTTCCATGTCTGTTGGAGAGAAATAAGTGTGGGCATGAGCACTGCTAATGAGCCCACTGGGTCTTCATGGAAATTGTAACTAATACAGAAGGTTCAGTTTGGGCTCATGGCCACCTGTTGGGCCAGAACAGTGTGAAGAGCTCAGGTTTTGGAGGTGTTTTGATCTGGAGTAACCAACAGTGAAACATGAGGCACAGCACAGAAAGAATGTGCTGCTTTTTTCCCCTGGTCTACACCCATGTAAAATAAATAAAAACTCTAGAATATAAAGGCAGAGGTGTGTCTCTTCCATTCTCTCAAGAAGTTACTCGCATAGTCACTCTTTGCATGCAGGGATTGATTTGTAAAAATATGGCCATCGTTCAAAAGAAAATACTGGTGAACATGCATCATTTTTAGTTATGCAATATGTTTAAATAACCTGCTAACTTACTGCCTATAATTTCAGTCAGAAGTGCTAATAAACAGTTGGAAATTAAAATATTTTAAAAAGTCAATGTATTATCTATCTTTAAATACCAGGCTGGTGAAGAACTGCAACCTCTGGATGACAAGGGTATGAGTATCCCCAGTGATACTGATTTTCTGGACACATGGGAGGTAAGTTAATGTTTGCTTTTTTGAGCAGGTGCCAGCACTAAAGATGGAGCAGAGATCTGTTTGCACAGTCACTAAAATAATATTTGGATATGCACAATGGTTGAACTGAAGTGTAGATTAATCCAGGTGTGGCTGTTAATCTGCTGGGTGTTTCATACAGTTAGGGAATTCTCACACTTTTCAGTGTTGGGCATCAGCATGGCAGGCTGTCCTTCAATCCTGCTGTCCTTGTGGACTGAGAGAATTCAGGGTGTGCTCCTGCTACTGTGCCTCTGTAATGCTACAACTCTGGGAATTTATAGTTTTCC